AAGCAACTAAGAGAGACCCCTTTTCTCTTCTGAAATTTCATTTGGAATTCTGAACATATGGCTTATGGGCTGGTGGGCTTTGGTTTTTTTTTTTTTTTTGTTGAATAATTTGTGGAAGGCAGGCTCGAACCTGCCAAAAGAAAGGATGAATATACCACTTGACTCGAAAGGTGAAATGCGGTGAATTTGACTTTTTAAAAAATATCTTTATGAAAATTCTAATTAGTGTTTATTATTGTGCAGTCAAAGGAAAATCTTGTAAACATTGTAATGGGATTGAAAATTCTCTATCAATCTATTAATCCTCAGCACATTATGATCTGTATTATTATTATTATTATTATTTTCGGGAGATTTTGACCAATATCTTGTACACATCTATCAACATCTAATCTTAAATAGTACTTAAAAGTACCTATATACTTGGAAAGAAAAGTATAAAGCTAGATGTCATACTCACAAAAATATTATAGTTGAAAGCAATAAAGGATACTATTCTATTACTTATTCTAATATCGGGTTGAAAAATGTACACGATCATTGTCAGGAAACCACAAGTACAACAACAACGATCTTCCATAACGAAAGATCTCCAGTAAACCAAAGAGATTTATGTGTTTCAGTATAATTTACACATTAAATGTATAATTATAATATCAAAATTATTAAGTTATTTTTAATAAATAAACATAAAAAATATATTATTAAAGATGTTTTAATAATTTTAGTAATAAAACCACAGTACAATCCAATATGAAAGACATCTTTTCTTAATCCAAATACTAAAACGCGCCATATATATATATATATATATATATTTTATATATTGAAAAAAGGGAAATAACGAGACTGGTATTACAACCATTAAAACTCTAGCAGTTATTAATGATATGGTGCACTTGCACCAACGCAGTCAACGCTTCGGGTGCAAAACGCGCCATATATTACATGCACAGAAAATTGAAGTCTTTATCATTTCCTTGGAGAAACGTGGGCCTGCAATGGATATTTCATCACAATTGTGAATTCCTGCTTCTCTTCCAAGTTAACCTCATCTCCTTCCGCAGCCTTCCATTTCAACTTCCAGACCAAATTTGCCACAAAATACTCCAAGTGAACCATAGCTAATCCGATCCCCGGGCAAATTCTCCTCCCTGCTCCAAATGGCATCATCTTGATTTCCCTACTTCCAGTTATGTCAAACGCTTCCGGACCACCGCTGTCATCACTGCTCAGGAACCTCTCAGGCTTGAATGCCATTGGATCCTCCCACACTTTTGGATCCCACCCCAGGTCAGCTACCATGAAATTGATGCTACTGTCCTTGGGCACCAAATACCCATCAAGAACTGTGTCCTCTGTCACCGTGTGAGCCAACAGAAAGTGAGCTGGTGGATGTCGCCTTAACCCTTCTAAGATCACAGCCTTCAAGTAAGGCATCTTTTGCAAATCATCTTCTTCGACCTCTTCTGCTCCTTCTCTCACAACCCCTTCAATCTCCTTGAATAGCTTCTCTTGAATGTGTGGATATTTTACCAAATTTGCCATAATCCATTGCAAGGAGGTGGAGGTAGTATCTGTGCCGCCGCTGATGAATTCCGAGCATAAAGTAACCATTTCTCCTTCATTAAGCTTCCTCTTCTCCTCCGGTAGCTGAAGATCTAACAACGTATCAACATAAGCCAACACATACTCGTCCTCTTGTTTGAAATCCTCCATATTATTCTTGAATCTTTCGTCTCTGATTTGCTTTCGCGAACGTATCAGACGAATCAATACTTCCTCTTGATTTTTTCGAATATTAAGGAATTCTTTCCACTTCTTTCGAAACAAAATCCCCGTTATCCTGGGCCAAAAATCCAGTACACCGTAGCTTCCAACAGACAAGAGAAAAGAACGCTCAACATCCTCAATCTGTTTGATCTGCTCTTGGTTAAGCTTGTCGCCGAAACACATCAGTACCAATAAGCAAAACATAGCATACTGGAAATGAACCAGTACCCGAATTGGTGCTCTGGATTTGGACTCTGACCCTAAAGAATCCACAAGAATCTGTAATACCCATTTGCGGGCGTGAGAGTAGGACTTAATGCGCGAAGGGTGAAGGATTTCGGCAGTCAGATTCCGTCGCAGAAGTCGCCAGGTAGGACCGTACGCGCCAGAAGTGATGTTGTGCTGATCGCTAGTCATAATCTTACTGGTTGGGAGAGGTTTAGGTCGATCGGAGAAAACGGCACCGTTCTGGACCAAGGCCTGGTGGGCGAGGGAGCGGTCGGCGATGGAGATGGCAGGGCGAGAACCGATCTTGAGGGTGACCATTGGGCCGAACTTTGTGTGGAGTTTGCGGAGAATCAGTTCCAACTCGGAGGTGGATTTGCGGAGCCATAGGAAGGGGCCGACAATGGGGATGGTGGAGGGGCCGGGAGGGAGAGAGTGGGCGGGGGATTTGGTCGGAAAAAGGAGGTTGAGGAACACTCTAAGGAGGAGAGCAACGGAGACGGTGAGGGGGATGATGAACCAGACTTCCATCTTTCTGGCAGATTGGGATAGGAATGAGATGGAGTATGATGGCGTATTTAAAGGAAACGGTTCGGTAAAACCGTAAAATCAAAAAGGCAAATAATTGAGGTATAAATTAAAAAAAAAAAAAAATTTTATACCTCTGTTATTTTAATGTTTGATTTTTTATTTATTTAGAATATGTGACATCAAGTGTATTCTTTATTTTGTTTTCATGCTGTCTGTTTATTGTCTCCCAAAAGGTATTATTTCTATCATCGATCAAATTAAAAGAGATTTCTTATGAGGAGGGAGTTGGGTTAAATGGAAGGTAGTTTGTAGAAGTTGAGTGGAAGGTGGGTTAGGTGTAAATGATGTACGTTTATTCAACATTGCAATATTAGGTAAATGGTGGTTTAGGATGGTGAGTAGGGAATGTAATCTTTGGAGGAGGGTGATTAAGTCTACACATGGCATTCGAGGTAAGAATTGGACTCATTGCGTGAGAAAGGGTAGAGGGTAAGCTCTCTGTGGTGGCGTGATAAATGTAATTTGAATGAGGTGGTGGGAAATAAGGAGGGTTGGCAAGAAGATAATTTTAAAATGGTCATAGGAGATGGAGGAATCGTAGAATTTTAGACGGACAAGTGGTTAGGGGACAAGACCTTAGTTAACACATATCTGAGACTATTTTTGTTATCTATAAGTAAAGAGAATTTGGTACAAGAAATGGTGTTGACTTAATGCACTCCAAGAGGGGGATGAATTAGAGTTGAAAATTTTCACCTTTTTGTAACCACCAAAAAGGAGAATGGTAGAATTCTAGACAGGCAAGTGGTTAGGGGACAAGACCTTAGTTGACGCATATCTGAGACTATTTTTGTTATCTACAAGTAAAGAGAATTTGGTATGAGAAATGGTGTTGGCTTAATGCACTCCAAAAGGACGATGAATTGGAGTCAGAAAATTTTCACCTCTTTGTAACCATAAAAAAAAAAATAAAGAGAGAGTAAAGAAGAAGGGCTTGCACAATGATTTTATAGAGATTCGATCCAACCACTTGGAGCCTAGTCCTCTACCTTGGCTTCACTCACTAAGGATTTCCTTCACACTCTCCACTACGAAAAACAAGGGTGACTTAAAGGAGTAACTCAATCATTTTACAAGAAGAAGGGTGTTTTTCTCAAATCTCACTCCTTTACAAGTTAAACCCAAGAATCCTCCATACAAATCATTTTTGAAGGAATAATCACACCTCTAAGATAACACACAAGTAGAACAAGAAGATGATTACAAGCAAAGATCACTCAAAGATAAAAAAACTCAAGTTAAAGCACAAGTTGGTAGATAAAGATATTCAATACAACACTCTAAAACTTGTTCTAGCTCTATTACCAACCATATTTATAGCCCCTTTCTCGAAAATAGCCATTTCTAGCCATTGGGGTCATTAAATACTCTGCAAAATGAGTGATTTTGAGTTGTAGATTTGTCAATGTAATCGGCTTAAAATTTAGAGTTGATTTAGAATTTTGTAGCCGGCTTTTGCGAGTTGCTTGCACATTTTGTTTTCTTGAACAGTCGGCTGCAAAACGTAAAGCTGATTTTGGGATTCCAAAATTTAAAAACATTAAATAATGTTCAATTAATTTGATCGTTGTGCATTAAACGCGCCATCACAACTGGTTGCAAAGTTAAAGCTAGATTTGCATCCGTTTACCATGTGCACCAAACTTCAGACTTAAAATTTTCACCTGTAGAGCCAACTGCAAATCTTAGAGCCGACTCTTTGCACTTTTGCCTTCTAGAGCCAGTTGCAGATTTTTTTAAGCCAACTCTCTGCACAATGTCTAGCCTTTTTGGTCCATTTTTAGTTCAATCTTAGTTTCTTTACTTTGCAATCTTTTAGCAATTTAACTACACACTTAAATGAACCAATTAATCACTCAAATGTGTTTTTTAATCATCAAAATCATAGGCACAACAAATAAGACATTGGGAAGATGGAAGATGGCATTGGAAGATCAAGTGGAGACGTGCCTAGAGGCCATGGGAAGAAGAAATGGCAACGAAGCTCACACAAAAATTAGTTGCAGCACTTCCCAATGAAGGCTAATTAGAAAAGTGGGAATGGAAGCTTTCAATGGAGGGTAGATATTCCACGAAATTGGCTTATAAGTTATTATCATTGTAGTAGCCAGAAGAAGATAAAGCGATTTTCAAAAAATTATGGAATACCTTAGTCCCTAATAAGGTATGTGCCTTTACATGGCAATTAGTACAAGGCAAGATCCCAACAAGGTTTAATTTATTCAAAAAAGGGGTGATAGCTTACTACAATATGACAAAGTGTGGTCTATGTTCATCTGACATTGAAACTACACATCATCTATCATGGCATTGCAAAATAGTGCATGATGTTTGGACAAGGTGTTTGAGATGGTGGAGTTTGGTTTCTATAGGCACAAGAAATTGCTGGGAATCTTTCCAGCAACATAGTGGCTTACTCCTTGATAAGGATACAAGAAAGGGATGGCAAGTTGTCTGGTATGGTACTGTATGGTCAATATGGTTAGCTAGAAACAAGGCTGTGTTCCAAGATAATTTATACAATGCTGCAAAAATGGTTGAGAATATACAGCTTAGATCCTTTGAATGGTTAAGTGCAAATAGGGAGGGGTGGCATGTGAGCCTCACAAATTGGTTCTTGGACCCAAAGGAGTGTGTGAAGCAAAGGGGCAAACCTAACGTGTAGAAGAAATATCATTGTGGTAAAACTCCAACACATTAAGCATGTAGAATATGTCAGAAATGAGATCGTTATAAACCTAGTGGTTAGAGAGTTGAACATGTAATGGGTAATGGTTAGAGTACCCATTGTACTCCCAATAATAAAATAAATTCAATTTTGCTGTTAAAAAAAAAAGTGCATTCTTGCATCAAAAAAAATAAAAGTGCATTCTTTATTTGACATATAAAAATTATATTAAAAATTTATAAAATAATTATCCTGCCCAATCCAAAACAAAGGCTAAATTTAATTCTTCCGATTGATCATTGACCTCTTAATTAGTTAAACTCTTAACTTGATCATTTAACTATTAAATGGACTCTTAAGTTAGTCCCCTAAATTAAAAAATGTTTAATTTAGTTTCTAAAATTTTTAAATTTAGTTCTGAATAGGTCTCAATATTAAAAAATAACTTACATATTCTATTGTTAATGTGATATATGATTCTCAAGTAATAATTTTTTATCGTCAAGTAATGTAAACATTAATTATTTTTTAATGAAATGACTAATTTAAAATTAAATTAAGAAACTTTAAAGATTAAATTAAAAATTTTTTTAATTTAAAAATCAATTCAAAATTCTATACAATAATTAAGAGACTAAATTAAAAGTTTAACATTTCCTTTAAGACTGAATTCCCTTAATTACTTTATTCTATAATATATATATATATATTTAAGGAAACAATACGTTAGGAGAATTTACCTTTTATGAGGTTCGATACAATTTAATTTTAAATTAATCAAATTCAATAAATCAATATAAATATATATATATATGGTGAGAGATATATACACGCAAGTAAGTTACTTTTCTACTAAATAATAGTATTAAATTCGATTTTGTTTTATCCTATGTGAGTTTGATGTAGACTTGAGGATTGAATTTGGTTAATTAATCTGTTTTTTGTTTTTTCCTTGTTTCATTGTTTGTCTCAGAATAATAAATTTTGTATATCTTATTAGTATGTTTATATTAAAAATTTAAAAATAATTTATATTTTTATTAATTT